AATGTAAATGATAATAATAGACACTATTGAAAAAAATTGCAAGCACAATTTTTTGAATTTTTTAATTCTTAATACTAATAAAAAAATTATATTTTTTAAATTATATTTTATATCATTTATTTAATAAAATAATAGTATCGTGAGTTCATAAATTAAAAAAAAAAGAAAAGATTCAAATATGATTAATTAATATATAATAATAACGAGAGTAATTAAATGACAATAACATATAATAAAAATAATAAATTTTTTTTTTTATATTTGTACGATTATATATTAATATATATTAATGATATATTTTTATTTGAATGATCGGATGATATAATTATATTTAAATAAATAATTATTATAAATTAAATTTTTATATTTAATAAAATAAATAATAAATTATAAAAATAAAATTAAATATATTATATAAACATATGAAAAAAAATAAAAGTAAACGTTACTACTAATTTAGTAATTTTAAAATTTATTTCAAATTTAACAGTCAGATACCGTTTGTTAACATTAAAAATTTGAAACAAAAATTAATTTTTTCATAATCGTAAAATATCATACATTAAAATTCTATATTAAGATCCAAACATAGTGTTAAGGTACTACTACAACGGTGTATACAAACATTAATTATATTTGTGTAACGTTTAAATCCCTCAACAAAAGCCGGAGCCTGATTTCCCAAGCAGAACCAGAGGTATGCTGGAGAGTGCTTTTTCTTTTTCTTTTTCTTTTTCCCACTGGCTTTTGTTGAACATATAGACAACGCCAATGGTGTATGGATTAAGTATTACAGTCATTTCAACACTGATGCCTGGGGTCGAAGAATAAAAAGGATCAAAATCATAATTCTTTGACTTTCAATAACTTTTAGAATCAAGAGATAAAAATCCTAAAATGCAAACCCTCCCTCTGCCGAAATACCGATCATGGAGCTATCAGACACAAAAATGTTACTTTGCAGGTGGATAGAAGAACGGCCTAAATAGATTTATCATGAAATGTATTTCTCCGCCTGCTCCTGAAGAAGCTTAGCTGAAGACTTGGCATCCAGATACAGGGAGCTGACTTCCTCGAGGTCAGCCTGTAAACCAACAAAAAAGAAATTTCTGTAAATGGTGCGGTGACAATGAAGAAACACCATTGAGTTTTGACAAAACCATATGTTATTCTTTTTCTTTTTTTTCCCCTTCTTTGATATTTACCTTGCATATAGCGTCTCGGCCGTTCATTTTCGCCACAATGCTGGCAGGAGACAACAGCTGAACTGCATGTCTGAGGAAACAAAAGTCTTGTGATTCAGCATTAGGGAAAGTTAGATTCACCTACAGCATATATAGGATTTAAGTCAGACCTTAAGGATGTTCTCTGCCCAATCTCCCCAAGGAAGGCCAAGCTTTCTTCATCTACAACTAGTTCCTCTACCTGTGCTCGAATTGCTAAGATCTGACCAGGATACAGTGCATCTAATTATGTAAATGCCCCCAAAATTCAAAAGAAACTCAAAAGGCAGTAGGTACAGCTGGAGAAACCTGTATCATTTCAGCAGGATCATAGATTTTTGTCTGGATTATGACCAATCGGTCCAATAAATCGACTGGTATGCCGTGAGGGCTATCCATGTCAGTCCCTCTGCAAAACAATAATATATCCACCTTCAAAGATTAGACTTCATGCATAAAATAGTTTAAATGCATACGCAAAACATGGAACTTTGATAAAACAACAACACAATAACATCCAGCAGATCCCTTATAATGTATTGATTATTTTATAAATATTTCCAATAACCAAGACCCCTGTCTGCTCCCATCTAGTAACTCCATATTAATGCAATACTATTAGCCACTTTTTGGGTCATTTGGCGAGGAAGAAATACAAGGATATTTTAGAGTATTTTCTCCCCTTTCATTATAATCGGAGCATTTTTCCAAACATTAATATTTTTTGAAGGTCATTGGCTCCTGGATGAAGTGGACTTTGGCAAACTTGTTGACATTTAAGGCTTTTGTACATTGCTAGTGGCACCATCTTGGTACTTTTTTTGAATTTAAAACAGCCCTCTTGGTACCTTTTATATGGCAAATTTTCTTTTTTCTCCTAAAAGGAAATAATAACGAACATAAACTGAAAGAGAAGTGTATTATATTTACAATCTGTAATGTTGCATGTCACCTCCAGGATTCAAACTCTCATAACAATTATAGATGCCAGTAACTTCCATTTGACTGAGCTAATCATCAATAGACAATGTCTGCACCCCATTTAAAAGAATCAGCATAAGCAAAGAAGAAATTTGTACCTTACATTGCATATTCCCCTGTTTGTAGCAAATATCACTATCGGGGACAGCGAGCTCTCTAAAGCACGATTCAAGTATGAAAAACACTCCATATCCAGCATATGTACCTGCAAATTTGGATTTAGGAAAACACATTTTTTCTGATAAGTGGGGAAATGGAAAGCAATAACATATATCGGATTAAAAAAATTAAGATAGAATAGTACCTCATCAATGAAAAGGACTCCGGGTACAAGCTCTGCAACTCCTTCATCAATATATCTGTTAACAACCTAATAAATAGAAACCTTTTTGGTTAAAAATATAAGGCTATGTTTGGCATGAAGGATGTGGTAGGTAAGACCTCTTACTTTACTCTATTTGGAGGCCAAAATTTATATGGGTAGGATGGTGTTTTACCAGACCTAATCTAGGTGCCCATCAAGGGTAAATAAGCACCACAAGAATGATCACTTTACCCTTAGCTCAAATATCAACATTGCAATTTTTCAACTGATTAAAAAAAGAAATAACAGCATGAAGAATTTTCAGATAATCATTTTATCTACAAATTTCAGCTTATGCTCTGTTGACAAAAATCATTGCATATATCACCACCTCATATGCTAGAATCCAGATAGACATACCTTATTTATTTCTTGTCGTAATTTGTCAGTGATTTCTGTTTTCCTTGGTTTCATCATCTGACCCATTAGAGACAGGATGTCTTGCCCACCTTGAGGCCGTGCATTTGCAGCATCTAGATCATGTAGTGTTACATCCTGGTTAAAAATAATATTAAAGTATTATTTCAAAAGAAAATTAATACTAAAGTAAATTGCATTTCAGATCTAACTTGAATTCATGAAACACCAAAGGAAAAACCAGTATAATACCATTTTATATGTTATTTTTAAAAAATACCATCTTCAAATGTGCAAAATTGATTAGAGATAACAGAGCAAATCCCTAACAATGTAAGTTATGGCAGACAGCCATAAAGCCTGAGGATTCAAAACAGCAGATTTTAAAGTAGTCTCGAGAGTGCTGTGCGCTTTGATTAGATGCAACAATTAAATGCCAGCAAAGTTCAGATAAAGTTATCACAACGAAAACCATGCAAGTACAATCGGGTCCAATTCCCAAAAAGCCAAATGAATGTCATTAATCCAACTAACATTGCAAGGCAAATGTCCACAACTACCATCATTAAGGAAAAATAAATAGAAAGATGGAGATCATGGATCATGGAAAACAAACCTGCACAATTTCCTTCTTTTTGTGAACCTCTCCTTTAGGAAGTGGAACATACTCTTCTGCTTCAAGGTCAAATTCTGTAGCAAAAGCATCACTTCTACCAACTCTTTTGACAGCTCCACTATTTGCTTCAATGTAAATAACATCTCCAACAGCCACCTGACATGCATATGAAATATCAAAAGGAACAAATTCAAATCCACCCATATGGAATTTTCGCTTATCTAGGCTATTTTACTTTTAGGAGGAAAATGGAATACTCTTACATGAAACCAAGCAAAGCATTTAATAGACATTTAACACAACCACTTAACAAGTAGCCTGCAAAGAGTTGATTGTCCAGAAAGAGTCAGAAAAAAAGCAAAATCAAGGACCTCACCTTTTCCTTAATCAAGGCATCATAAATAGTGGGGTCCAACTTCAATTGTTTGGTTCCTTTGACAGTTTTAAGTCCAATAATGACATGGCTGATGCTTTTACCATAACCGCCCGTCATGCTCTCAGTTTCTTCTGGGGAGAGTTCAGTAACCTAAATCAAGATGAGCAAAATATTAACCAACAAGAAGAGCACAATAACACACGGATCAGAAATGCAGAACGATTAAAACTATCAACAACAATTATTAAATGCAACTTGCCTCTCCTTCATAGACCTCTTTATTTTCCTTGATTCGTAACCCAATAGCACGTCGGAAATTTTCCATCAAAACCTCAGTTTTCTTCACTTCAGATGAGTAAACTTCTGATCCTACCATTGGACAGAATGGAACCTGCAGAGTAACAAAAGGAATCAGTGTTATATATCAGATGTACCGCCAACAGCTAACTGCACAGCTACAAATACCTTCACTGAACCACAAGATGCATAAAATACAACTAAAAGTCGTGAATTTTTCAAAGTTAGAATGTAAACAAGAGAAAATATGAGTACCTTGCTTCCCAGCTCTTGGGATACCCCGAGCGCCAAAGCAGTCTTCCCAGTACCAGGAGGCCCAGCAAGTAACAATGCCCTACCAGCCATCTTCTTCTGCCTTATCATGTCTACAACAAGACCAGCTGCCTCTCTTGCCTCCAGCTGACCGACAAAGCCAGCAGCTAAAGGAATTGGTGTTCCATTGGGCTAGAAAATAGTTGCAAAATGAAAACGAATTAAAAACAGTGGGTGAAACCAAATATCATAAGAAGAAACCAGCTCAATGATCTGTACTATCTAACTAAGTACAACATCCTTTGCCTCTTCCATTCTGTATTTGTGAGGATGGCTCATCTTTTCCATTAATTTTTCCAATACAAAAGTTCTATAATTAGCTGTTGAAATTTGGCAGTACTTTTAAATTACAAAAGTATTCTCATATTTTAAATGTTAATTTTTGAAATTTTTAACAACATGCCACCGTCTAGTTAAGAAGAATGCATGTGTAAGTGACTCTGATACAGAAGAGGAATGAAATAATATCTTTATTTCGGCGTGTCTCTGTTCCATAATAGTCATCAAAACCCACACAAATGAGTTTCCTGAAGAACGCAGGGACTACAATGCCCATTAAAACTTACATATTATCCACGTAAAGTGATGCTCATAACTAGGATGAGAATCCAAAAGATACAGAGAAATGAGATCCCAAGTGAGATTACATTATCACTCTGGTAGTGCTTCCTCCCAATCATCCTCCACTAGTTCCCGGTAATTCCCAAGTGAAATCACAAATCACATAATTCCCATTTGTGCCAACCATTACTATGGAGGGAGTTTGCTTGTGCTCATCCATATTATGAAAGGAGTTTATGGCCCGTCTATTTTATGGAGGGAGTCCAACCTTTTCTCAGAGTCCAGCCATTTAAGAATTACATTGTTTGCCTTCCATAATAATGGTGAACGTGTGGCTCATTGTGGTGGAAAATGGGATTTTTTTATTGATCAGTAGCTTTGGTACCCATTTATTTGGGAGTTTGACCCGTTAGATCACCCACAAATATTTGGTTATTATTTGTTTCTAAGTATTTGGAAATATTCACATCTCTGTAAAGAAATTCAATTTTCAAAGCATGAATATTTAGAAAATGTGTGTTATATGTGATACATTATCATGTTCATTGATCTTTTGCTGTCATGTTATAATCTAGGATGTATATCTCACTATTTCATTATTTCAAAAAAAAAAAAAAAAATCTCACAATCGATAGTTATTTTGGATCAGTAAGTGTTAGGACTTGAAAAGAAATCTTAAAGAAAGAATTTTGATGTGTAGTTAGAGTTACCTATCCAAGAGGATTTTAAGGTCTCTTAGAGTTGGTTTGTTGTGTTCTTCTCTATGAGACTTTTGTAAGATAAAAGTTAAGCCTCATACGCAACACTTATGTAAAGAAAAGGATGTATTTATACCAAAATGTGTTTGTGACCTAATTAGCAAACACTTATTGTGACATACTTTTATGTGTGAAATTTGAACATTATGTTAATGGTCTGAGTTTTCCCTCTTGTCATATTCTTGTCTTACTTGTTTTTAATGAAATTTTTACACTTTGTTTTAGTTGCATACCAAGAATGCGAGCACGTGCATTCTTAGGCACTATTTCTGTACTTCTTTCGAGAGGTTCTATAGCTTGAGGTTCAATTTGGGTCATCAAATCTCGTTTTCGTAGCCTATTCTACCCTTGCTAAAGCTAAGGACATGGTTAGGAAAACATATTCATATTTTAAAAACTAGTTATTACAAATAAAAGACCCAAACAGTGAAGAGCTTAACACCCTGCAACCAAATGCAAGGTGATAAAAATGACTGAAAAGTAACGGTTCAGCAACCCAAGTGCAGGCGAAAACAATGTATTAAGTTCCGTACGACAATAAAACCCTAAACCTCAAGATTCCGGAAGCATAAAATGGAGGATTCTAGATAGCATAACCACAAAAAGCCCTTAAGTACTCAAAATTTACAACACCAATTAAGTTGTTGTCTTCATATTTGAAAAATACTCAGGTACCCATCTACATAAAGATATATATATATATAGGAGCAGAGAAATGTAGAAGGAAATACATAGACGGAGAGGTAGAGAGAGAACCTCGAGGCCGAGGCCTTTGATGTGAGTGTGTGTAGCGATTCGCTGCTTCTTGGCAGTGGACTGAACCTCTTCTATCTTCATCTTCTCCATCTTCTTCCTTACCTCTCTACAGAACGTTGTCAGCAGCGCTCCCTGTCAGTTCAAAAAGCTCACACACCACTCAACCTTCGGCGAGTTGCCACCCTCGGTACTCCAAACAGTGGCTTTTGCGTTTCTTGCCTCGTTGACGATCAAAAACAGATTTTCAGAGAGAATGAAAAAAGCAACCTGATTTTCGGTTTTCAACTAAACTACTGATTTTTAATATTGAAACTTCTTTAAGCTACCAAGCTGAAATGCGAAACAAAGACAGCGCGCTGGACTGCTTGAACTGGACGCCGAGTGGTGCCGCCGATAAAGAGCGAAGAGAGTTGAGACGCGATGCAAGAGAGACACTGAGAGTAGACGAGATAGAGACGCCGACGAGAAGCCACGGCGAGACCTGAGGTCGGCGTGAGGCAGAGTGCCAGGAGGTGTTCGTAGTTTTGCGTGAGCTGAGAAGGGGGTCTAGGGCACAGACGAAAAGTGCGAAAAAGAAAGAGAACAGATTTTTTGAAAAACTTTAAACGGCAGTCCCCCATGCCGTTTTAAAACAAATCGCTTCTTTAAAAAAAATTAAAAGAAACAATATTAGTCAACATATTTTAAAAATTAAATAATATATATAAATTAATTAATTTTATAATATTTATAAAAATAATTATTTTTCAAGTAAAAATTAATATTAAATAAATCAATAAAAAAACAGTTAAAATTTAATATTTATTATAATTTAATTCTTTATTTTTTATAAATTTTTTTAAATAATAAATAAATATGAGAAGAGAACCCATCGCAAGGGATAACGCCCGTTAACCAGAAATATCCCCGAGGGAACAGTCTCGTCTCCAGTGTGTCCTGTGATGCTTGTTCAGGTTAGCCACGGAAGAAGCTTCAAGTTCAGATTTTGTTCAATGCAGACGCTTTTAAGAGTTGGTTTCTTCGCTCACTGCACCGACTCTCCCTTTGCAAAGATCTCTCCAATTCCCTTCCCTAAAATCCCATTTTGCAAGAAAACCCACATAGTTTCTGCACTTAAAACAAGCTCTCGTTCAGGTTAGCACACTCTATCTGTATTCCAACTTTCTAAAGGTGCATTCTTTTTTCGAGATAATTGAGGAAAATGGACTGCTTTTCGAGGTCGTTGGTGAGATGCACAATAACTGGAGCCTGAACATAGTGTATAATTGTTTGAATGTTTCTTTTTTCTGAAACTTTCTTAATTTCTCTTGTCCTTTTTTTTTTTTAATGTTCAATCTAAGTTTTTGTTTCGTTTGAATGTATGTACACAAATACTTTGCAAGTATGGTATAGGTGTATTCTCTCTGTTACCTTCGTCTATATGTGCGAGTGACATCTTTTGCTGTATGTTGTCAATGCCTTGCCTTTTGCTTTCAATTATATTTCTTCTGTTAGCAAATTCTAGTTATGGGTTACACATCAGAATGCAACCTTCTTTGTTTATTGACTTGTTACACTCTTTTTTTTTTTTTTATCTGATTAAAAAAAAAGAAAACTAGTTACGCCATCTTCTAACCTATATTTTAAAATTATAATTGCTTGTTCTTATAATTTGTGAGAAAAAAGTTGTAAAATGATGTCTATATTTCTGCTTTTTCGTTGTATGAGGTCGATGTGATTTATACTGAGTACTTCAACCTGATATCTTTCTAACATTGATTTGCAGGGAGTGAACTTGTGGAAGATGATGTCTTGTTAATGTTCTTCAAGGACAGAGAATTAAATGGAGATTTTATTTCCAAAGCTTCTGATAGGTTTTGGCAGGGGGGAATTGCGAAATTTGTTGATGTTAATGATAGCAAAATTCTTGATGCTCCTCAACAAGATGAGCTGGTAAAATGAGCTCCTTTCTGTTTGTTTGAGCCTTCTTCCTACTTCCTTTGTGAGGATGTTTCTACGGGATTTTGATGGATACCACGGTTGTATTTCCCAAAAATTGGCAAAAAGTTGAATTTAAAGTTACATATCTCCTATCAAACTTTCTTTTGTTCTACATATTGTCCTTGGATGTCTTGGTTGTATTTGAATGTTTCATGTTGACATGAATCTTTTAGTGATTTCTTGTTTGTGAGAAACATGTCTCTCAACTTAGTATTCCTTGTAGTCAAATCTTTCAAAAGCTACATAGGAGATAATTAATTGTGGCAATAGAAGGTCCATTGGATCATACTCTGGTAGATGCAACAAGAAGATATTCCTATGGAATGGTAGATGCACAAGAACTCTGACAGTTGGTCTCATTGAATATAGCTTGGAAAATTTCAAAACTAAGCTTACTTCTACAGCCTTGAATATTACTTCCTAGTCTTTCTAATAATATTTTCTAATTTTGTTTTCCATCTTAGCATTTTTGTGATTGTAATATTAGCTGTCAACAACTGTTTAAGTTTTGCATATTTGATGCATAAATTTTGTTAATTTCTTCAACTTTCCTCCTTTCTTTTTGTTTTTGCATATTTGAGGCATAAATTTTGTTAATTTCTTCAATTTTCCTGCTTTCGTTTTGTTCTTAAATCTAGCAATTTGTTTTGCCAAGGGCAGTAACCCCTGTAAATTTTAAGGTATAGAACATGGTTAATTAATGACTAAGGAGAGAACTACCATTGAGCAAGGTAGCCAGTTGTAACCTATCGTGTCGACTCCTGAAATGTGAAATATACTGCATTTCACCATTTTAATGAGTGAAATGTTTTCCACATGCTCCTGTCATTTATCTACTAGTTTGTCTATTTAATAGGAAAATAATAAATATGATTATGAGGTACCAAAGAGATGCCAGCCGTGTACAAAAACTATGGCTTTAGGGGCTTCTGCGACAAGAAGCGCATAAGTTATCCTAGGTCCTTCTCATCCGTGAGAGGGGGAGATAACTAAACACGGATTGTCTGAGAAACATGAGTGATAAGCTTGTGTTAACTTTGTCCTAACCCTTTGTACATGCCATCCATTGCTCCTACCAACTGAATGATCCGGCGAAGTATTCGGATTGCAGTTACGTGGTTGATTCGTTGCTCGCGACATCACAAGAAGTCTCTAATTTTATAAGGAAAATAAACCTGACTGGTAGGGTCTGCTTTTGGATAAAACGGAGTAATTGACTTACACATCAAAATTAGCATTTTTTTTGTACTGAGAATCCATCTGGCTTCACCTTTGGTTCTTGATTGGACTTGAATTCCATGGTTAAGTCTGTAAAAAGCAGCCAGCTCATGATGCTCATCCATCACCCAATCATTCAAATTTGCATAGAAGAGGATGTCCCACGCAGTTCTGCTCACTCAACATCAATAAGCAATCTTGTATACTTGCTGCTTCAACCATTGCAAATACTGAACAAGACGGGGAATTCGAGTCTACGCTAGTTCCTGACATAAACTTTGGTCCAAAGTGGAGAAGATGTCTTCTTTCCTGCTGTGTATATAAACAAGGCTTGATGTCATCCAATTCCTTCCTAGTCCACCCCCATAAACTGGTACAGGTGATATTATGACCTAATGAGAGATGCATCCTCAACAAGTGAAATCATATTTAGTCATTATGGTCGCTTCCACCAGCAGTCAACCACTTAGCAGTGTTGCATTGTTGAAGGTAGTTAAGGACTTCAAACCCAAACCACTTTCGTAGAGATGTAGATTTGGTGGACTCTTAATGAACCAAATAAATACCTTGTCTGCTCAATGATGCCTGGCCAAAGGAATGAACCATTGGATAGCTTCAGCATTTTTTGCAGTTACATCATGGATAAGGAAGAGGAATGTAAAATAAATTTTTGTAAGTAGGAGAGGATGCTTTTGATATGTTCGAGCATTCCTCTCTTGGTCTTTTCCATCCTAACAATCTCTTCTCATCCTTTTCGGACAAGTATGTTTGTATTCTTTCCATTTAGTTGCACCAAGGTCCTGATAAATTTAGGAATTCAAATTTTCCAAAAAAATCTTGTTCCTTTTGCTATAATTTTTTAATTGCTACATCCTGTAGTGTTGTTTTTTTTTTCATAATTGGTTCAGTTACCAAAAACATATATTTGTACTATTTCTGGCAATCATTATATATAGGTTAAGGAAAATGATAATGGAGATGGTGGTAGTGGGTTCCTGAAGCTGTCAAAAACTCAGGAATGGATATTAGGTGGCAACTCTGCACCAATCAACAAGAAGGCCAGTGCTAAGGTACACTTTTGTTCTCTATCGATGAATTTGCCATATTCACATCATGTTTTCTCTTAAGTCTCCCTTTAGTGATGGCAACTTCAGAATTATATTAACTTGCCTAAGAAACAAAATGCTGCCTGATTTCAAGGGAGAAGTATTTACTGTTCAATACTAACTCCACGCATAAAAAACAGGCGCTACCAGATGACTTTGAAAGAAGGAAGAAACTTAACCTTCTGCAATATGAAGCTGTATGATACTTGTCTAAATACATTATGTTTCTTGCTTTAGTTATTCGTTTAAGTTAATTCACTGACTGAATAATCTTTCTTATTCCTGTGGTTTATTTTTGAAGGGAGGGAGGGTAGGTCCATATAAACTTTTTGCCACGGTTTTGTTTAGGAAACAATGTTTTTGCTTTAATGTTTAATTCTTCATTAATCTTCTCTTGCAACATGACAAAAAATGAATTGAGGTGATTTTTCCATAAAAAATAAAGGATCATCAAGGAAGTAAATTGACAGGATTACAGTGATAGCCTTTACCTCTTCTTTTAGACCATGTATCCAACCCTTTCTTCTGGAAAAAAAACTAAAATGATTGACATCAATATTTTGGGTGAAATAATAAATACTTTTTTGTTTTCTCGGGCTGATCTCATATTGTGGAACTCCATGACAACTAGCCAAAGTCTTCAAAATAGTGAGTGACGAAGGGAATTCTTAATATGAATATAATACTAGAATAGGAAAATAATTAAAAGAACTAAAATGATTGACATCAATATTTTGGACGAAATAATAAATACTTTTTTGTTTTCTCGGGCTGATCTCATATTGTGGAACTCCATGACAACTAGCCAAAGTCTTCAAAGTAGTGAGTGACGAAGGGAATTCTTAATATGACTAGAATACTAGAATAGGAAAACAATAAATAACTTCTAAGTAAAAGATAAAACTCCAAATAAAACTAACTATAGAAGTCTTAACCTAGTACTTTTATTGTCTTAGTAATTCTACGCGCCTAATAGTTTTTGTTGTAGTCCTATTGTAGTAATAATTTAAAAAACTGAGCTAGGGGGTCCACCTTTTTTAGAAGGAGTGTCATGTCTTATCTTTTAGGGAAGAAGTTGAGAGAGCACGAGTCAGCCGTCTCTCTAGGCTTCTTTTTTTAGGGAAGATCAAACATGTGAAGAGAAGAGCAAGCCAGTGGGATTTTGTGTTAATAGAAATGGCTGGGATTGGTTTTTTGGTATTTTCTTCAATTTACTTTAGGTATAGGCTGAGCTGGATTTTTATAGGCTTTTTAGAATTAGGTTGATCATGGTAGACCTTTTATTGTAGGATTTTTTCCTCTCATTTAACAAACCAGAAATAGAAGGAAAATTTGAGATTGTAAGATGCAGTGAAAGAATTATAATAAAAGAATGCTATACACGACCTCTTCTTAGCTTTGGTCTTAAATTTATTTTATCTTTATGTTTTTTTTATTATCAAACAAGTCCAAATAGCCATATCTAATTTTTGAAGTCTTTTTGAGTCCTTGTATTTTTTACTATAAAACGTTGCCTTCATACTCATATTGAACACCTGCAACATGAGTCAAAGCAACATAGTAGTTGAACTGTTAAGGAGTACTAACTATTGATCTTTTCTCAAGAATTTTAATACTAGCCCAGATAATTACCATGAACAATTGGACTTCCAGGCTGTGGAAAACTAGAGTTTGATGGTTGATTATCCCAAAAGTTTAAGCTTATAATAAAATGCCCAATAGCTTTTTCGTTATATTTTGACACGTCCTTACATGCAAGTTCACAGGGGGGTGGAGATGTGGATAAAGCACATGTCATCATAAACAAAAAAGGCACAGCTAGAACTCCAACTCTTGGTTTTAAGCTTTACCTTATGGACTAACATTATCTGGCAACAAATTATATAAAAAATTTAAACTTATAGAACACATTATTTGAGCTCTATTGCTGTTGCTGTTTCGTGTACTAATTTGCCAGAGATTACGGAATACTTTTGTCAATTTAGTTGTTTCAATGAGAAAAGTTGCTCTAAGCCTCTCTGGACTTGAAGAGTAGACAGACCAAGTTTTATTCATTCTATACCTTTATTTTCTTTTTATTTGACTCTGTGAAGCTTGTAATTATTAACACTGAGCAGGAAACTGACTCTTTATCTCCACTGTATTGTAGCTCAAAAGGGAAATGATGCTTTTGTCTGTTGGGATTGGAACTGCTTGCAGTGGCTATTGTTTAGTAGCTTTATCAGTTCAGGTAAAATCTTACGTGAAAATGTTTTCTGGTTTTGTTTAGGAGGGTTTATTATTGTCAAGCATCATGTCTTTTCTCTTGCTCTCTCTAAAATAATAACTCATTTCATCAAAGAAAAACTTAATGTGTATGAATAACCAAGTCTCTGTAAATATTAGAGCAAGGTTTCATCACCTATTTGAAGAACAAGAAGTATAGATTCACTAATTTTGCAATAACACTCTGGTTGCTTACAAAGATTAAGTGGATCCACATGGCTATATTGAGGCCATGGCATTGAACCATACAATCGTAGAACTTCCAACCTCTTAACTTCTGGTCATCTTGGCAGCAACTAAAGCTTTTCTTTTCTTTCTCAATTTATTGTTACTTTTCCTTTTCTTGCAACTGAATAAGCTTTCTGCATGGACATACATGAATTTAGGGAATGAAAACTCAAAAGTGTTTTCATATATCAAATGGAACGTAAATATTTGGTTTGAGGTGCAAAGATTCTGTGCTTATAGTTAATATTTATTTGCCTGGCAGGCTGCTATTAGCTATGCGGTGGGAGTCCTTTTCAGGTTGATGGTACATCTTTACTTTGTTTTACTGATTTGTCTTCTTGTCTGTTGTGGAGTTGGAATTATAAGCTCATGAAGGTGATGAAGTCTTTAATTTTCGTCAGGTGTAATTGTTTTGATGGAACACGTGCTCATTCAAATGTTAGTAAGAAGATACTAAAATTAAGACCCGAGTTAAGAATATCATAAAATTTTCTCATGGGAGCAATAAAACTCACTTAAAACCTAAAAACACGCTTCACTTTTGGGTCAATTGCTTTCTTTCTCAAAGAGGTATCTAACCTAATAATCCTGAAATGAAATGCACTGGTTTAAACTAAATAATCGATTGCGTCTATCATGTGAATGTTCAATAAAGCTCGCTCGCCTATGTTTTCCTCAGAAGTAAAAGCATCCTAGAATTCTAATGAACTTCATTTTCAGTGCAGTTGTCTATATCTTCAGCTTTTATTCCAATATGCAGACAATCTATCCAACAAAATGGTTCCTCAGATTTTCACGCAGAAGAAGTCAAAGAAGTACTACCAAAACCCCATGCTTCATCAAGTATATCACTATATCGACTTTAGTCCGTCATAGTCCTAACTGATACATTTTTTCTTGTACCAGAATTGGCATAAGAAGCGAGGACCTTAAGGATTTCTTTGAGAGATCAATTAAGGGTAGCGGTCTTGCTCTTTCATCTCCAAGACTTGTAATCCCTGCAGCAATTTATGGACTATGGGCTTTATCTCACCAGTATTTTGCCAATGACTTCTTTGATTTTCAGGTTAGCTACCTAAAAGCACTCTTTCAAGTCTGGTTGTTAACACTAATAGTTTCCGATCGCCTTTGCAAATGGAACGTGTGTTTTAACAGTTAAAAGATAATCTTGGAATCAATCTTGCAGCTGGTGCCAGCTATGTTCGGAATGTTTGTATATAAAGCTGCTGCGCTTGTTCAAGTGTATAGAGATAACGAAGATCTGCAGTTTGTCTTCCCGGAAAATGATGATCGGAGGTCAGACACGTGAAATCTTCCAAGTTTATTTCTTCGACGCATATCAATGCTTCCCGTCCATGCTATCCAAAGCAAATGGGACATTTCTCCAAGAAGTCTGGCTCTTGATCAGAGGAAGATCCTAAATAGATATATTTGTATAAATCGATATATCTATATCGTTGTAACGTTTATGTATTATTAAAATATTTAAATTATTTAGTAGTTAGTATATAGATCGAATAAGTTTATAATTTTCTATTTAGTTAAGGTTCTTATTTAAATAAAAGTTAAAAGAGTTATTTGTATATTCGAAAGAGTTGTTCTTCCTTGTTAATCCGACATATTATACTACTCTCGTATCTAATAATCCACCATATACATTCCGTCTTTTAATACTAACATTGTTGAAATTGCCATGATCATATTTTTCAAGAAACTGTGATGATATTTAGAAAAAAATAGAAGTCTTTTCTCTCAAAAAGATATAATGAATTGATTACATTACTACAAATATATAAACACAGTATAGATTTGCAAATAACATACTGGACCAGAAAAATAACACCTGAGACATCGTAATAAAAGATAGAAGAAAGCTATGGTAATACGCTTTTATGTATAATGGCGAGCCACGATAGCTCAGTTACCAGTGCAATTACATAATTACCCCCACAACAGCACAACAATGTTAGAGACTGATCAGTTCAGCAGAACAACCACTGCAACATGCTCTCCGTCTCCCTGTCTCTCCTCCCAGATTTCATTGTAAACTAAAAAAAAATCTATAATAATATACAATAATATTCGGTAAAATTCGGATCGAGACAGGTAGACAAATACCATCACCGAACCCTAGATCCATCCACGGAAATGGGGGAAAAGAAAGCAGGTGCCACGCAGAATGAGATGGTGCTCCAATCAGTTGTAACGCTGCTATTGATACTGGTCGCCTGCGTCGAGCTCTGCGATGCGGCCACCGTTGTAGACGTCTACCGCTTGATTCAGTACGATATGTCCGGAGTCCCATTCGGATCTCGTTTAGCTAGTCTCAACCACCACGCCACTTCCTTGCACTTCCCTCCCGGCGCCGATCTCTCTCGGACCGTCCTCATCATCCCCCTTCGCGACCTCAACATCACCTTCCTCAAAGGTATTTGTTGTAGTTTTGGCAGTTACATTCGGTCAATTCGTTTCCGGCAACTACTTTGTTCACTATTGATGTTGTGTTTTCGCTTATATGCTGACTTCGTTAAGTACGACTTTGTTTGTTCTTCTTGTACTTGCATGCTCGATGGATGTCTTTAGTCTTTGTTTAGGGGACTAATTAGTAGTGCAGAAAGTGCTTATTCGGAGTTGCAGATTGCCGTTGTGACAGTGTCGATGCTCTGTACAAATGGTTCATGTTTGGGATAGCGAAATTAGTGCTAAGCTGGAGGATGTTACTGTTACATTTATCGTTCAGTGTTAGTTTAGTGGCCGTTTTTAGTCATTTTTTTTTTGTACTTAATGATTGCTACCAGTGTCATCTGTTGTTAAGTCTGAAACGGGCGTCAGGGTTTTGAGCCTGAACTATTACTTGTTAAAGATGTTATTTTAGATTTTTGTCTCAAAATTCACGTCTCAGTTGGAAGTTTGTCCAATTGATGCAATTAACAATTTTCAGTGCATTTAGGTGTGGCAGGCTTCAATGCTTTCCTAGTCTACTAAATCGATAAATTTGCGATTATCTGTGACCATTCAAATCTTTACTCTTCTTCACTTTGTCTTTTTAGCAAAGGTCAAATGATGAAACATCGAGAAATTTAAAAAGATGGAAATTAGGTCATAAAGAAAATCCGTTTGGCCCTTAAAACTAATACTGAAAATATTTAGGTCCCATCATTTGATGACAGAGAAGGCGCATGATTAGTATTTGAATTCTTCTTATATTAAAACCATTAGCCATGAGATCCTATTTAGATTTTTTTCGTTTTCACTCTTAAGTTACTCAATTTAATTGTTTTTCCTAATAATTGCAATATTGATTGTTGAAAATTCTTCTCACCACCTGCTGATCTTGTCTCTTGCATCTAATATCCGTATTTAAATGGGTTATACCCTTTTTTGTTCTCTGTTTTTCTAATTAACGTTGTTAATTCTATGGGAACCATGTAACAGATTATATTTCTGAAAGGCAGTCTCTTGGGGGATTGTTGTTTTTGCTTCCCCAAATTTTAAGTTTTGAAAATGGAGAGGGAAGAGCTCAAGATAATCAAATTCAGGGAAAAGAGCAGATGAAAAATTTATTAGCAGACCTTGAGCAGTTACTTGTTCATCTCAAGATACCTGTGAGTTAAGCAAAGATGATATCTCCTACTCTTTTTTTCATGCATGTGAATTCTTGTTGCTGCTATTTATTTATCACAGGTTTCCTTACTGGCTCAGGATGTTGATTTGGTTATCTTGTCCATGAACAATTTTTAGTGGTTGTTTGGGTGAAATATATTGAATTTAGCTGAATATTTGACTATTTGAGCTTGATTTATTAAAATGTCGCAGGAGTTTGAACATGGTCCAAAACTTAAAAATTGTATATAAAGCATACTGAGTTTGAGTTCTGCTTGGTTTGCTCGATGAGGAAATGAGTCTCATAAAGCTTTGAACTCAAGCTTGAGTTTAAAAATAAAACTTGTGGATTAAGTTTTATTTTCTTTAAGTATATATTACAAGTATATAATATATAATATATAGTATAAATGTATAAATATATGTAAACATATTACAAATGACTTAATCTTAAAAATGGTCCTTTACCTTTGACTCATTTTTTTTATTAATTTGGTGCTTAGCCTTTCAGTTGTTGCAATCAAACCCCTAACATTCTTTTTTCTTTTTCAACATCAATTCTCAGTTAACTTATCTGTTTAAATAAATATATTGTTGGACATGTCATAGTGACGACAATATCATTAAAATATAATAGTGTGACTGTCGCATGACTTAAATTTACAAAAAGTTTGGGGAAAATTACATAGAGTATATTTATAATGCTTGGATTGGAAAGTAGAGGAAGCATAGCTGGAAGAGATGGTCTTCAGTGGATCATGCTTAAGTGTTTTAGAACTAGAGAAGATTTTCAATGGAGCATATTAATGGCATGACTATCACGTGGTCATTATATATTGAAAAATCTGTTCATTTAAATAGATAAGTTAACTAAATGATTGATTTCGAAAAAAAAATGAAGGTTGTTAGGGAATTTAATTGAAACAATTGAAAGGTGAGGACTGAATTGGAAAAGGAAGGGTCAAAGACGATTTTTATAATTAAGTCTAACAAAAACATTTATATCTTTATAAATAATATAATATTAAATATATATTTATATATAATATTAGTAGTATACTAAGTTTAATTGAACATTAACGGCTTTTGGGTTAAATATCTGTGGATTTATAGTTGACTTGTTAAGATAAATGAATCTATAAGTGCATTAGTTAGAGGTTGGGAAGGGATAACATAATTTGTTTTTGGTTGGATGAGTGGGTGGTTGGTGGCAGCCTTAAGAGACAGTTCCTGAGGATATATATCATTGACTAATAAAAGAATATGCTTATTGAGGATGCGTACACATGAAATAATGGCAGCAGAGAATGGATTGTGAATGTGAATAGGAACCTGAATGACTGAGAAGTTGAAGAACATGAAGCTATACTATAGCTCTTCTCCATGGTGCATGTCAGTGAAAACAGAGATCAGATTGTGTGGAAACTGAAACAGAATGGGGAATTCACTGTCAAGTCTTATTATAAGTATATAGTGGGCAGAGAGCAGGATGGGGTTCCTAACTTCTCGGCTTATTAGATTTGGAAAGTTAAGATGCCTCCAAGGATCGCTTTTTTGCCTGGGAGGAGAGCCGTGAATGCATATTGACGATTGATAAGCTAATGAAAAGAGACAAAATAATGGTAAATAAGTGCTACTTGTTCAAGAAAGCTGCTGAATCATGGAATCATGTTCTCCTATGGTGCCCAATGACCTATGAATTATGGACAAAAGTTTACGGCCTGTCAGGGATCAATTGGGTTATTACAGGAGCAGTTAAGGAATGAGCTATGGGATTAGGAAGGTTTGTGCAAAACAAGACAATTTGTAAATCTTATTCCATTTATTATCTTTTGGATTTTATGGAAAGAAAGAAATAGTATGGCTTTTGAGGGTAATGAGGGTGAGATACCTAAGATCAAGGATAAATGGCTTCAGCTTTTTGGGTCCTTGATTTTGGAGCACGATATTTACAGGATGGAGGATTTTGGGAAAGTCATAAATATTCTAAGACAATTGTAATTTTTTTGTAAATGGGTGGTACTCCTTGGTACCTTGTGGAAATCATTTTTTACGCTTGGATTTTGTTCCAAACTAAATCAAAATGGAGCTTTAATCCAACTTGAATTATTGGTTTACCTGGTGGTTTGGTGTTACTTGTTTGTCTGTCAGGATGAAGTTTTGAATTTTGATATTGAAATTTCTTCCCCCTCTCATCCCCCGATGACCAATGGTTAAGGTATTTCTCAGTTATGATAACATACTACCATTGGCTCAACCAAAGGTTTTATTGCAATTATTTTTCAGTCTCTTAGTTTATTTTCCATTCATTTCTTTCAATCCTAATTTTGTTCAAATTTATCAAAAGAATTCTTAGTTTAATTAAATTTGTTTTTTGAACTTTTGTTTGTTTGTCTCAGCATCTTTTTGGCTTGGTTAGTGTTCAGTGATAATTTATTCAATACTTGTTCTCTTCCCTTTTTCTCATTCGATGCCCCCTTAGCTGACATCATAAGTGCCTGCTTGGTTTTATAATATTTGGTTGCTTGTTGATGTGGCTGTCTATGTCAAGGGTAATTCAGAGGTCACTGAAAACACGAACAAAAAGGAAATTGCCAGATTTATATGAACAAGACTGTCAAATATTTAATTGGTCATTAGTGAATAAGAAAGTGAAAAAGGGAGGAAAAAGTATAACACATGCAGCTTGAATGAATTGAGGGTTCTGTAAGTGGCGGGATAGATTTGCACATGCCACTAGTACTGTGTAATTTTCTGAAATACTGTTCAATGTGAAAATTAATGCAAAGGACCTATAATGTCGTATGGTGAATGATGTTAGCTGATGCCTCTAAGGCTATCTCTGTCTGATTTTTTCCCCTTTTTTGACCACCAATTGTTCTTTATCTGGAATAGTTGCCCAAGTACTCTTTAAGACTTCCTTTATATTTTATAGGTGTCTGTCAACTTTGTAGAAAGCTATGTTTCTTTCTTCTTTTCCTTTATTCTTGTCGCAAAAAAATTGTATGCTTGTGTTTGTTCTTTATCACTTGCTCCAATTAGTTCCATCTTTTGTTAGAGAAGAATGGAATATCAAAGAAGCACCAACCAACTGAATTACTTCGAATCTATTTTCATTGTCTTACGGTGTATTCCTATGTACTTTTCTTTCCTTCTTTATGGTACTTAAAGTACACTTACGGTGCGTCATTTGTTACAGTATCCTGTGTATTTTGCTTTTGAGAATGATGAGATGGATGCTGTGTTGGCTGAGGTAAAAAAGAATGATGCCACTGGTCAGCCTGCTACTGCAACTACTGGCGGGTTAGTTGATTACTTGTTGGTTAAATTTCCTGTTGATTGCTATTACCGACCTCTAATTCCAGTCTCCCTGTTGAGGAAGTTTAAGGATTTTGTTTAATATAAAGTAATATAAAAGAAAAAAATGACATGTTTTCTTTTGTTGTCTTCTCATATTGGCATCTAGTACAAACGCCATAGTGTTTAATAATTTTCATAGATATCTGTTTTTACTGAAACATGATAGTAAGTCATTTTTCTTTTGAAATAAAAAAGAGACTTTATTCCAGAGGTACCAAGGGGATACCGCCCAAGATACAACAATTACAGCTCAATCAAATGATTTAAAACCATCCTCAAATCCTCTAGATCCTGTATATCATGTTCCAAGAATTGGAAACCAAAAAGATGAAACCATCTATCATTGATGCTGTTAAAATTATTTTCTATCCCCTCAAAAGCTTTTGAATTTCTCTCTTTTCACACAACCCACATTAAAGATAATGGAATCAACATTAAATATTTTTTCTTCTTACATAATCTAGCCCATGCCCACAATTCATCCTTAACTGACCCCGCTATAACCCATTTGATTCCTGAAATTCCATAAATGAAGTCCATAGATCATAAATCGGCGGACACCACAGTAATAGATGGTTACAAGATTCAGCATAACATTTGCACATATAACATCTATTCACCATGCATCTCCCCCTCCTCATGAGCATAACATTTGCACACAGTTAAGTCTTACTGTCTTCCCTTAAGAAATGGAAATGTTGCCTATTTTCTTTTGAACTGCCTTCTGTCTGGTGAAGTATTTTCAGTTCTTCACTATCTAGGAAACCCCTAATAGTCCTTTTATGTAAAAATGAAGCCTTTCTATTCAATGCACAAGCATCCTAGATGAAGAGTGATGGACTTTCCTTCTGTTTGTTTGTTTTAATACATAATACATCTTGTGGTGTATTAGTTATTGTTAATTCTTTTTTAGGATGAGAATCAGTTGTTCTTTTTTTGAGATGAATCAGTAGCTAATATTATCATTGGCAATTGGATAATACATATTTCTGTACTTTCCCATTTTTCTTTTGAGGGAAATTTTGTTTTTTCATTGTTCTCATCTTCTTTCTTACGAAATCGTTGCAGATATAAGCTTGTTGTTTCTGTTCCAGAACCTAGGAAAGTTGCATCTCCAACAATTACAAACATCCAGGTAATGGAATGACTCAAAGTTGCCCATTGCCAATATCAAGAATATTTCTAGCATTTCTTGTTAAATAGATATCTGTCTTTTGGGGTTGCTTAGTGGTAAAAAGAGCTGGATGGAAATTTATGCTATGATTAAGAATATTCAGAAAAGAAAAGTGATGCCGTTACTGATAGAAGCTTTTGTTTTCTTTTAATTTTTTTAAGAGACTTTCCGCTTATCATTCTAGTGGGAATTTTGTATAAATAAGCCTATGCAAGGTTAGACTAGAAACAAAAGGAGGTATTGGAGTCTCAATTTTTTTTTTTTTTTGAAATAAAAAGTATGGCATGTCTCAAAAGCACAGAGAACGAAAACACCTCCCAAATCTTATCTTCACTCTTGATATGAGCATCTGCTACTTCATTTGCAACCAAAGGCGCATCCGATCTATTACCCTTCCACAAAATCCGTTTAGGGGGTGGTTTTTACCTTTTTTTTGGGGGGGAGGAAGGGGGGGGGGGGGGGGGTGTTGGGTTTGGGGTGCTTGGTAATTCTATTTGACTGTGCTTTTGACTTGTCATTATGAGTTCTTGTTGAAATAATTGTTACTTGTGATTCTAAAAATATGGCTGGGGTTACTTCTGACTTGTCATTATGGGTTCTTTGTGAAAATAATTTTTGTTGCCTACTCTAACAGGTTTGTGGTGCTTGTTTAATTTCAATACTAGTTGATATGTCACAATTTCATTGGTTGCCATCTGTTTCTTCCCAAACCTTTCCAGAATTTTGTTTCCCACATTTTTTATTAGAGAAATTGAGACTGGCTGAACAATGTTTCAATTTGTAGGTATTGAATGTTTTCAATATCCAATTCTGATTACTGCATTTGTCTCATTTGACCATGTTATGGTTTTGTTCGGTGCATACTGCATAAAACAAGAATATTATTATAGTTTTCTTCATTTACTAGATGCTACAAAATTGTGCTTGGCTTGGTGGAACTTGTTAACTGTGTAATTCTTCACGCTGGTGACAGGGATGGTTGCCAGGACTGAAAGCTGATGGTGATTCGAATCAACTTCCAACAATTGCTGTAGTAGCATCTTATGATACATTTGGAGCTGCTCCTGTATGTTATTTTATTAAATTTCGTTACTCGAAACTTCTGCTTCCATGCCATATATGAAGGTGTTAAAATTTTTACTTGTAGGCATTATCAGTAGGAAGTGATAGCAATGGAAGTGGAGTTGTGGCACTTCTTGAACTAGCTAGGTTATTCTCTCTTCTTTACTCTAATCCTAAAACGAGAGGAAGGTACAATTTACTCTTTGGGCTGACATCTGGTGGACCATATAACTACAATGGAACCCATAAGGTACTTGGAACTTTCTTAATGGGTTATATTTCTCAACTCTCTGAAGAAGATTTTTTCTCTGTCTCAACATATTCTTGCTTTTCTCTGTTCTTTACCTTTGCATCTTTCTTAGTGGCTTCGGAGCTTTGATCAGCGGTTGCGTGAGAATATTGACTATGCCATTTGCTTAAATAGTATTGGTTCTTGGGACAATGAATTATGGATCCATGTGTCTAAGCCACCAGAAAATGCTTACATAAAGCAAATATTTGAGGTAACTAGATAACCTTTCACAAAATGTGTTGGGGGAGAAATTTTACAATTACAATGCTGTCTTGCTGGGTTTGATAGATGGAGCTTTGTGTAGGGTTTCTCTAATGTAGCAGAAGAGCTGGGCTTCCATATGGGTCTGAAGCACAAGAAGATAAATGTCTCTAATCCTCGAGTAAGTGAATAAATGTTAACGTGTCTTTTTTACTTGTCTTTCTAATATGATGTTGATATATGTTCTAGACTTTTTTGTATATAAAGGACCTAGAGATAGGATATTTGGAAACTAGGGGTAGAACATAGTCGAGCTGAGTCTGATATTTGAATATTTGAGCTTGGGTAATTTCAATACTTTGAGCTCGCTCAAAGCTTGATCCAAGCCTTAACTTTTCATGGAGCTCGATTCAAACCCAATAAGTATCAGCTTTGATGTGAGCTTGATTTTATATGAGCTCGATTTTGAGCTTGTATTGTCTTGAAATTGGGCTGCATCTCATTAAATTATTAATATTTGTACAATAGTATTAATTATTAATTTAATTGTATATATAAGTAATATTTTATTGTATATGTAATAGATATTTTAATATTTAAATACATGTTAGCGAGTTTTTGAGTCGAGTTACAAGCTCAAGCTAGGATCAATGACATAAATGAGCCAGATAATATGTCTGAGCTGGAGCCGAGTTTTCACTGAGCCTAATTGAACTTTTCCATATAGGCTCAGCTTGTTGCCAGTTCTGCTGATAGCTGGAGCAGGATGTTGGTTATGCTTTACGCTTAGGCCAAGATTTCTCTGAATATGATGAGAAATAGATCTGGGTATTCTGAAGTTTCACCATTAGTTCCTGTTTTGTATCACATTCTTTTTTCTACAGAAGCAATTTGGTGGATGCATTATTTTGGGTTTTTGTTGTTAGGGCATGACATGATTAGTGATGTAATTTTTGGGCATGTCATAGACTCACTAACTATATTGTAAAGTTTTATGTATAGGGGTGGTACCTCCAGTTTTATGGTACCATGATAATATATAGTTCATACTTTTTATTTAAAAGAAAAAAAGAAGCAATTTGTACGTCAAGAAATCTGCTTAGAATTTCCAATGTGCAAGAATAATTAATGATGTCTAGACAAAAGAATATTCTTTAATTTCCAACATTTTCTTGTCAGATGATAATCCTGGTGACATCAAAATATTTTTGCATTCGGCTCCCATCATCTCTGTCTCTCTCCCTCTGTCTCTCTGATTATTCCTGTTTTCTTCATCTTTTATAAGATGGGAAGTCTTTGCACCCTCTTTCTTGGTTCTTTTTGAAGATTCTAGACTCTCAGTTACAGGGGCAGCTCCTCCATATAATAAGTGAGGTTATTGACCCCACTTAATTTGTTAAAAAGTAATATATATTGCATGTAATTTTCAAATAAAAGAAGATTTTGATATTATTGTTTTGGTATTGACTTCATTACTATTAATAATTGATAATTTTCATCACATTATTCATGAAAGATATTTTTGGCCTCATAATGTTTTATGTAAATTTGACCTATAGGATAAAATCTTTGGGTTTTGTTATAATCATGTCTAGTTCTACAGTTATTAGAAAGACAAAAACCTAGTTCTCTCATCATTTTTTCAAAAAACTAAAAAAAGCAGACTATAATAGGTTTCTCTGTATAGATTATGTTCTTCTTACACTACTTTTTTGTACCATAATAGCTAAAATCATAAGTCTTTTTGTGCTTTGACCAGTAGAAACACGTATCATGTACTTTATTATTTGACAATCATGTGACCGTGACATGATACATGTAAAACTATAAATTAATCTGTTAAGAAACTGGACTTTGTTGACATATATATTTTTATACAAGGATTAAATTGTTAATTTTAAAAAATATGGACCTAGTCATAATTATAAGCAAAAATTTTGAGGAATTCTATGTAAGTTACCCTTTTTATTTTGCTCAGTTACGATATTGTTCTTTCTCTAGCATGACCTTAACACTGTGGGAAACTTGGGATGGCATGCTATTTGTGCTAGTAGCTTTGTGGGTTCTATTCACTATAGCTTAACTGCACAATAATCAAACATTTTTCCTATGTAGATTAATAGTTAGGATAATGAAAAAACGTTATTTATTTTCATCATTAAATTCTTATCTTTTAGTAAAATCCACTTTGGTCAAAGATTTATCACTACAAGCTCTGGATCTTTTTGCTGTCCAGTTTATGTATGCTCTTCCCTTTGGTGGGCAATATATTGATTCACTGGCATGTGCCCACTAGTAAGTCTATTCTTATGTTTTATTACAAGTCTACTAGATTTGTGTTATGCTATAGAGATTAGGTGATAAAGCTGCTGATCTGCTGTAGGTAGCTTGGGAGCATGAACAGTTTTCAAGGCTGAGAGTAACTGCTGCCACTCTTTCTGCGCTTTCTGCTCCACCTGAGCTGTTAGAGAGAACTGGAGGTTTGTCTGATAGCAGGTTGGGTTTTTGAACTTAAACACTGACTTTATCTCACTAACAGCTTTTTCATCTTGATTTTGGTTACTATCTGCTGAGAAGCTTGATCTGCTGCAGACATTTTGTGAATGAAACTGCAATTATCAGAAGTGTTAAATTAGTAGCTGAGAGTCTTGCGGTATGGCTTCTGACTTCAATACTAGGAAATGTATCTTACTTTTGATGTTTTGTGCTTATTGCACTGAAACCTGAAAAGGATATAAGAAATATGATGTTTATTTTTACCTGCTTAAAGTCACTTTAAACACTTTAAATTTTATGTTACCAAATGGATAAGTTAAAGCTAGGTAAAACTCCTTATTAAGTAGCAAGTAAACGATCCCAAATACCCTCGTAGTCTAGCATCTATCTCAATGTCCTATTTTCTCCTTTTGTTGTTTTCAGAATAATTTGGTTGATCTGATAAAAAAAATGTTTGGTTGATTGTTGTTAGACTTGTATGCAGGAATATATGTAGCCCTCAGGTTTTTGCCTTTTACTTTTGAATTTGTGAGTTATCAGTTCTATTTTGATGTATTTTTCTCTTGTTTCTTTAAACAGAGGCATATTTATGGTCATAAGGGAAAAGGCATTCAAATCTTTTCTGATGACAGCAGCTTAGCAGTAAACCCTTCTTACATAAGGTCATGGTTGGATCTGTTGTCACGAACTCCTCGAGTGGCACCTTTTCTTCCTAAGAATGACCCCTTCATCACTGCATTGAAAAAGGTAGGATGTGTGCTTTACCGTCTTGTCTCTTTAAGATTTTGTTGATACCATAGTTAAACTGTTAACTCTTTACATAATTCTTTAGTTTTCAAGTTTTTCTTGTATGGGACAATACAATTAGTTAAAGATTCAGTTTTGTTTCCATTAATGTTTTTTCTGTTGTTTGATTTAATGTTATATGATTCACTCTGAGATCGGGATATCAGGAAAGAAAAGCTAAATAGAAGTCTTTTCTTATGTATGCTGTTCAAGGCTGACCTTTTGAATTCCTTGTTTTGATTGGCAGGAATTAGCAGATCATACTGCTGAGGTGAATGTGCAACATGATGTATTTGAAGGGATGTTCACTTTCTATGATTCAACAAAGGCTAGCCTTAACATATATCAGGTACTTTATGTTCATTTGTATGAAGTGCGTGTTACCACATGCATTTGCTCTTAGTATCATGTTGTCTTAGTTGATTTGTTGAATTAACTAGACAAAATAGTCCTTGTGGGGTGAGATTTACTCTCTTCGTGGCACCAAATTAAAATACTAGGTCGACGAATGATAGGTTCTTTTCGATTTTCGACTTTTTTTTTTTTCCTGTGGTATCTTCATTGTGTTTCTGTGCTTGATTCGTTTCTCTACCTACTATTTCAATGATCACCATGTTTATATGTCAAGTTCAAGTATAATTGTATGGGTAATCACTACAAATTTCTTATGCAGGTTGCTAGTGTAACATTCGACTTACTGTTGCTTTTAGTTTTGGGATCGTATTTGATAGTGCTCTTCAGTTTTCTTGTCATCACAACTAGGGTATGGCTTTTCCCTATATTGTACAGAAAATGGTTTGATGCCATTCTGAAGGATTTCTATACTTATCCGCTTATCATGCTGTTTCTCAGGGCCTTGATGATCTAATCAGTATTTTTCGACGACCTCCCTCACGGAAGGTAAAAACCGCGTGATGGCTGAGCGAATTCCATCTTTTAGAATTTGGTACTGAAATTTTCTAGTGTAGCCTGGATGGAGATATGCTTGGGCTTATTGGTTATTTCTACGAAAGTTGTTGATTTGACGAGGAAATACTCTTTTTGTAAGTCCTTGGAATAGTCTACAAGTTTTTATGCCAAAACGGCGATAAATGGTCAGAAAATTTTTGTCTAGATTCAATTTTTTATCCAGACACTCGTAGATTTTAGATTCTTGCTGAGTATAGTGTGTTGGTGTTTGTTGTCATTGATAGGATTACCATTTTGAAAGAGTTGTTATTTTTTTATTTGTTATGGTGTATTAATCACATGGGCATATAATCATCCTACAAAAGATGATGGGTTAAAAAAAATAGGACCCTGGGTCATATAGATTAAATCTTCAGACTGAACTGCGCCACAGGAGGTTGGCAAGCAGTTCAAAATGAAGATTAGATTGAATTGGAATAATAAAGCAATGACTAACAAAATCAGGAGTTACCCAAATATTAAAGATGTTAGAACTGAAAATTCTTTAAAAAAATTATTTTATATTTAGTATAATAATATATAAAAGAGTTATTTATTTATAATCTTCAAATATAAATTAATTTTTAGATATATAAAAATAACTATAGACTTTAAAATTATGAACTACATAAGCTGTTTAAAAGATTTTTTATACGTGGTCTAGAAAGTTTTGAGAAAAAATTCACAACCGTCTGTGTATGACAATTTGCAACCTGTGTATCAGAAAATCAAATATGACATTCTTTAACCTCCCAAGAAACAGTTGGTCAACCTAAATTCTTGCCGTGACTTGCCACCCTTCTAAAATGTCATTCTATTGTATCTCTGTAGTTACGATCACTCTTGATGAGAACATTATGGAAGAGATTTGAAATTAATTAACTGCCTTGATGCTCTTTTCATTGTTAATGCAAATTAAAACAATGGCAACTAGGTTTAAAAGTGCTTTTCTATAAACTAACCTTTGGTTTGGATGACATGAATGTAGTTGCCATGGATGACCCAAGAAGCTTTGGTTTGGATGACTTTCTTACTCTGCCGAAACTAGAGAAAAAGGTAATACAGGAACTATCATTGGTTTGGTCTACTGCTTACCTTAACCAAAAAGACTTAACATCAAATCCCAACTGAGCTCCTCAAAAAACACTCAGATAATTGTTAATGCTAAATTTAGTGGTAGAAGAGGAAATACATGGATAGAGAGTAAGAAAATATAATAAAAGAACGTCCAAAATAAAATAACTTATCTGAAGTGTTGCCTTTTGTGAGGTGTAATGTGAAAAAAGAAAAGCCAAAAAAAAAAAAAAAACGAAAAATCTTCCTGTATATATATATATCCCATGAAAATATCATTACACCTCCACCCCGCACAGCATACAGAAGAAACCAAACGCTTGCCGTCCAGAACAGAAAACTATTAGGATTTCATATTTGCATATTTCCAACCCGCCGGTGTCACCACAAATGGAAATAAGTGACTCTCACGGCTAACAATTTATAACCTTACCATGTGTCTTGAATAATAAATCACAACCAACAAAACCAAGAAACGAGTCAAAATAACTAACTAGAGTGAAATACTATACATTTTGGGGTCTTCCACACTTGTAACCCAGAGCCAACAAAAAAGCTACATAGTTGACAAAACTCCAGCAGCAGATATAAATCTATTTCAACCCATCATGACTGGTGTGCATTTACTAGTGCTCGATAAACCATGTCAATGAATTGATTATCCTGTCATCAGAGGCAAAACTGCTTTCATATACAGTCAAAGATAGTCAAAAGTAAACTAACATCAAAAGAATCGACATAATAAGGACAAACATTCAAAACTTTTGTACCACAATTGTTCCTCCATCAAAGTTTAGATTGCTCAAACTTTTTAAAATGTTCAATTTACTTTCTATGTATTATAATCTGATAGCGATGAGGTGGCTCAACCACTAACCTGAACAAGCAGCAGAAGTGCATCTCGGACTTTTTCTCTGCTGATATTTGGTCCGTAGCTTGGACTAGGAACGGAAGCAGGAGTGAGGGAAGGTGGGGGAGTTGGTGGTGGAAAAGGCTGAATCAAGGGAGCACCATATGGGCGTTGTAGACTTACAGTAGGATTGAGAGGAGGTGCAGCAGGCATAGATGTGGAAACAGGTGGCATCATTCGTGCAGAAGAGGAAGGTGGAGGAACAAAGAAGGAAGAGGGTTTCACAAGATTAGTGGTCCGGTTGCTGTTGCCTGTGGATTCAGTGGTGTCAAGGAGTGGCATTAGAGGAGTAGATGCCGACAAAGGTAGAGATGGTATTTGCAGGGTTGGTGCAGTAGGGGAGGTACCACTTGCTGGATGTGAAGGTGCAGGTATTGCCGCTGACTGGTAAGGTTGTTCCGCAGCTGCTGTATTGGAGGCATTACCAATATTCATAGCTGACTGCAATTAAAGTACAATGAAGACTTAGCCTTGGCCATACACAAAATGGTTATGGAAGCTGCGCTTGTGGGAAAAGTCCAAATGCAGAGCGGACCGTTTTTAAGGAAAAACTTAAAAGATAGCATAACACGGCACCAAGTGGATGTAACCTCATGTATTTAAAAAAAAAAATTATGAAAACAAAAACAGCAAGAACTTATACTAGAGCCTCGGCCCAAAGGTCAGTGTTCTCCCCTAAGACTTTGCTATGGTCTGACTAATAGATCCAGTTACGGGACAATTCATACATAAATCAGCAGGAAGAGCAAAGTTCTTTTTCGATTTTCCACCTTTATCTACTTTTATATTGGAACTAAGAGCTTGTCAGGAAGACAAAATCCTATGATCTCTAGAGTAGGAAAGTACTCTGCTTTAAAATTCTTCCTCATACATATTCGTTCTATCTTAAGGACAGCAAATCTGATTTTATTACGATAAACTACCTAGTCTAATCCCCTAAATTTCTTACTACTAACTAACCATACTTTATTCAATATTCCC